TAACTAAAACGGTGACACAAGAACAAGAAAGGACAGTTAATAGCACAAGAATAGGGTATGCAGAAACAGAGTCAAGTCTACATAATAATTTGGTGTACCAGGAAGGCAGTGACTCATATCAGCAGGAAGGCACATCTATTTAAGAAAATAAAATGCTTCAATTCACTAAACTAATTCAGGGGGAAAAAATACTCATAAAAATGTAAACCATAAAAATACTAATACTGAGGTGGAGTATCCTATTTAAATAAGCCTAGAGAGAAATTCAGAAGAGTGAACAATTTAAAGAATAAAAAATACAATCTTAAGGACTTCCATTTCCAGAAATACGGAGGAGATGCAGTTTTCCTTCTTACTCCTGCTAGATACAACTAAAACCCCTGGATTTAATATATGAAATAAACATAAGAAGGCCCTGAAAGGTAGAAAAAAGGCAGCAAACTGAAGAGGGACATAAGGGACAGTGGTGAGTTCTTTAGGTTTCTTTTATATTTCCCAGGCTTGCAGTTGAACAGACTAGCTCTCTTGAAATGCCGATGAATACAGACCAAATAAAGCCCAACAAAAGCCTGCTCTTTCTAGACAAAAAACAAGGAAAGAGGCAGCCTAGGGAGGCAGAAAACATTTACACAATAACTACTCTATATATAAAGACCACACAAAAAAAATTTTGGTCTTGGGGCCATCTGGCATGGAGGTGTATGGGTAAAGCTGTTGCCTGAGATGCCAGCATCCCATATGGGTGCTGCTTCAAGTCCTGAATGCTCCACTTTTGATCCAGATCCCTGCTAATATGCCTGAAAAAGCAGCAAAAGAGGCACAACTACTTGGGCCCGTGCACCCATGTGGGAGACCTGGAAGAATTTCCTGGCTTCTGGCTTCAGACCGCCCCAGCTCCAGCTCCAACTCCAGCCGTTGCTGCTCTCGCTCTCGCTCTGTGTGTGTCCCCTTCTCTCCCTATAAACACTGCCTTTCAAATAAATAAAAGTAGGAGACTCCAGAAGACTCCTGAAACTAGGAGACCCTCACCTTAAGTTCCCACAGCCATCAAGGGGGAAACAAGTTCTACTCCCAAATGCAGTTAAGGAGGCAATGTTCTTCTTTTCCTCCCAAAGCAATGTCACACCAAGCCAGCTGAAGCAAAAGGTTTAAATCAGATCCAGATTCTGGATATGTAATATGAAATTGTCCAAGTTCCAGTGGAAAAAAAAAAAACTCATCTAACCAAGAACCAGGAAGGTCACATACTAAATGGAAAAATATTAATATATGCCACCAAATAACAGAAATGTTAGGATTATCTGACAAAAATTTAAAGTATCCATGATAAAAATGCATCAAAAGGCAATTACAGGGCCGGCGCCGCGGCTCACTAGGCTAATCCTCTGCCTTGCGGCGCCGGCACACCAGGTTCTAGTCCCACTCGGGGCGCCGGATTCTGTCCCGGTTGCCCCTCTTCCAGGCCAGCTCTCTGCTGTGGCCAGGGAGTGCAGTGGAGGATGGCCTAAGTACTTGGGTCCTGCACCCCATGGGAGACCAGGAGAAGCACCTGGCTCCTGCCATCGGATCAGCGTGGTGCGCCAGCCGCGGCGGCCATTGGAGGGTGAACCAACGGCAAAGGAAGACCTTTCTCTCTGTCTCTCTCTCTCACTGTCCACTCTGCCTGTCAAAAAAAAAAAAGGCAATTACAAAGACAGCTGAAATACATAAGAAAAAAAAAACAGCCTTGGTGTCAGCACTGTGGCATAGTAGACTAAGTCTTCACCTGTGGTGCTGGCATCCCATATGGGCACCGGTTCATGTCCCGGCTACTCCTTATCCAGCTCTTGGAAGCCACAAAAAAAAAAAAAAAAAAACCTGACATCCAAGCAATAGAGGCAAAACTCTTTGAATGGCAGAGGAGTCTCATCAGAAACTATAGAGGCAAGAAGTAGGCCTATATTTTTTAAGTGCTGAAAGAAAAACTGTCAAACTAGAACTAATGAAAATATCCTTCAGGAATAAGGAAGAAATGAAGACATGGAAAAATGAAGGAAAACTCAGAGAATTTGTTACTGGTAGAATATTCCAAAAGCATGGCTAAAGGAAGTTCTTCAAACAAAAAGGAAATGATTAAAGAAGAAATCTTGGAACTTCAGGAAAGAAGAAACAACAAATGAAAGCAAAAATATGGGTAAATACAACAGGTTTTCATTCTCATCTCGAGTTTTATATGTATTGAGTGACCATCATATGCCAGGCAAAAGTCTAAGCATTTTACCTGTATTAATGTAAGCACTGAGAGGTTAAATTAACTTGTTCAGGGTCACAGAACTAGTAAATGGCAGAGTCAAGACTCAAACATTTATTTCCTAGTTGTTATTTTAATAACAGATATGCATTATTTGTAACACCACATATTCATTCATATGGCATTAAAATGCCCCCTGAAGTAATTACCAAATATTCTATCATTATAATTACTTCAATGCACTATTTCATCTCCTATGCCATAGTATCATAACAACCAATCAAATTTGGTGTCCTTATCACTACTAAGTAAAATTAAAAATAAGATTTACTTTATTATCTATAACTTTAAAATATTTTTGTTGTTTCCAAAAGCTCTGAAATCATGACTAAAATATGTAACTTAATAAAATGTATCATAAAATAAAATGGATTAATATCTCATTCATTGCATTTACCAAGTTCTAAGGCATCTACAATAAAACCAAATTTATATGGTTTATAAACCAGAACTCTATTAACTGCACTTTGGTTTTGCTAGATCCTGAATGTCTTCTCCTTAATGTTCAATATAAGTTAAGTGTATTTTACTGAACCTTAATTTGGAAATTGGTAACCCCTGTATTGTATGTGGAGATGTCTAAGACAGAATATTTAGCAAGAATATGCCATCCCTCAACTATGACATATAATTGACTTACTGTTTTCTTGAAATTTTATTCTACTCTTAAAGAAATTCTTTCCTGTTCTATTGTACCTTTAAATAAATTTTAACCGAGGAACTTTATTTTTTGAAAGGAAAAAATACAGATTGTGAGCAGAAATATTTGTTAAAAGGGTTAAACAATTGACCAAAACATTTTAGTGTAAATCTTATCATTACTCTATACCAACTTGTCTAGACTACTAATGCTCATAAGGTTGTAACTCTTTCCAAAACAAATATTGTTTGGTTCTAAACCAAAAGCTACAATTCAGAAGGAACAGTTCACATTTAATTTTCACCACATTCATTAATGACACTCACCTCAAACAAAGGAAGCAACTACATTGAGATTTGTGTCAATAAAACAAGAATCTCAAAATCAATCCTAGATGCTGTACCTCTTCATTGGAAAGCAGAGAGCTCAAACCTTACCCATAGGCACTCTGCCAAGGTTGAAAGGAGCAACTGGTATGTAGCAATTGTTCCACTTAGATGCCTGAGCAGTGTCAATGAGGTGGTAATCCTGCAAAAGCTGCTGCATTGCTCAGGGAGACTATTAAAACTGGTGCTTCCAGTCTGGGATGTGCTGCTTCCATACATGAATGGCAAGTTTGTGGCTGTTAGAGACTGAGTACCAGAGGTGGAAGCTGAGCCAAAAGCAAAAGCGGTGGATGCTGTCACCTGGGATTGGGCACTGCTTGTTACAGAACTAAAGAAGGTGCTGGTACCCAGCCCCAAAGCCCATGGAATCACTGTAGGTTGTGTAGAAGCAGTAATTACACCTCTGTTTAATTTTGGTGTATCTACACTAAACAGAAATAGGAGAGAAATCAAGGTAATAGTCCTCTGACAAATAAATGGCTGCTAAGATAACAGCTCCTGTGAAATTAAACTTTAAATATGAAGTTTATATGATTTTGTTGAACAGCTTACTTCATTTCAATGAGATAACCAGATATCAATGTAGGAATGTATATACATTCCATATTTGTTCACCCACAGATAAAACTTACCTAATTTGATCCACTCCAAAGGGGAAAAAGATTTTAAATATTTTAATAGAGGAAGAGTACTTTAGAAAATTATGTTTCCAGTAGACATTAGGACTTACACTTCCTATCAGTCAGGCAGACTTTATTAAACAGAAGTTTTTGTTTTAGATATGGAATCACAAAGTCAAACAGCAGGCATGCTTTCAATATAATTTCTAAAAGTTTAATTTTTAATTGACACAAAATTGTACATATTTTAAATGCATTTTATGAGCCATGAAAAATACTTCAATATTTAAGTTGCCTCTCCCAAGAAAAATTATTTTGCACTCAATTACAAGTTATTAGATAACTATACAGGAAAGGGAAAAGATCCAGAGGGATGCTACTGGAAAACATGAATCCAACTGGATTTACCAAAAAAGGCATTCATTGAGTGCTTTAAAATTCTGAGATGCAGGAGGGGAAAACTTTATAATCAAGGTCATTACGATGATCAATAGATAAAGATTTCTCTAGAGAGACACTTATTAAAGATGCAGCATGATTTAAAGATGATGTATGTCCAAAACACAGTGCATACTCCTCTTGTGGCTCACATAAAATGAAGGGAAACCACAGATGAGAATTCAATGTGCCTTGTGACTCAAATATGAGATGGTGTTAATTTGTAGGATTATCTTGGGAATGAATGGCATAATTCCAAGCATTTGACTTAAAAATGCCATATAATTTCTTTACCCTGCCCATGCTCTAAATCTGAAGTTTGTCTTTGAAAGACAAACTTTGTAGCCTCTCAGAGAATCAGAAACCGTACTAATGTTCTTACCCTAAGGAAAACCCACTTCCTACTGGGGCAAGAGTTGATTCAAATGGTGTTCCAAAGCTGAATCACATAGTCCGTGTAGCTGGAGCTGAATTATCGAATAAAAACCAGCCAATAGAAGTTGAAGATGTACTTACAATTGGTTAGAATGGAGTCCCAAAATTAATCCCTCCTACACCAGGTATAAAGAAAGTAAATCGTGTAGTTGAAGTGGTAGTTGTCTTTGCAGAGCCAAAAGCAAACTCACCTGTAGGGATACTAGTTCCTCCAAAGTTAAACCTGTTCATGACTCCAAACCCTAAAAAGGAGTAAGGGCAGAATGAAAGAAAAAAATTAGATATCTCAAAGTAAGCTCCAAATAATGAATGCAAACCTTATTGGAATCATTCCACATAAACCAAATTCCTAGAAATATCAATTGGAAATAATTTAATAAAAACACTTTTTAGAAACACCCTATTTATCGGAGGTAGTCTCCTCATTTTAAAGATTAGGCAGCCAACCTAGACCAGCTAAAGAAACTTAATAGCACACATAGTCTAGTAACATGCCAGAGCAAAAACTCAAGTCTAGATGGCCTCCAAACCCTACCATGCTGCATTGTTGATAACTTTAAACTGCGGCCAGAGCTGTGGCATAGTAGGCTAAGCCTCTGCCTGCCGCACCAGCATCCCATATGGGCACCCGTTTGAGTCCTAGCTGCACCTCTTCTGATCCAGCTCTCTGCTATGGCCTGGGAAAGCAGTAGAAGATTGCCCAAGTCCTTGGGCCCCTGCACCCATGTGGGAGACCCGGAAGAATCTCCTGGATCGTGGCTTCAGATTGGCCCAGCTCTGGCCGTTGCGGCCATTTGGGGAGTGAACCAGCAGATGGAAGACTGTTTCTCTCTCTCTCTGTCTCTGCCTCTCTGTAACTCTGCCTTTCAAATAAGTTAAAATAAATCTTTTAAAAAATTACTAAAATAAAATTCACATTAAGAACCCAATTTTCAACTTGAAAATCATGACCTTTTCTGTGCCACTAGGAACTCTGTTGAAATTGCATTTTTTAAAAGAATTTCTAAAAGCATTTTTGCTATCCTCTTAAGCCAGCTTTGCTAATAGATTACCCACCTTGTCTCCCACTTCAGCATATCAACAACTGAATCTAGTTTGCCTTCTATTCTGTCCTTACATTTGCTGATTTCTAGGAGTTAAAGTTGGCCCCCACCACTATTTTATCAGGGATTTTTCATCCTATGCAAATTCTGATCCTAGAAATTTTAGTATTAACTGTGCCTATAGAAAAGAATATCATTTCATAATTGTCACCCGGCCAAAATATACTATCAACTATAAGACTCATTTCCGCTCCAGAGATGTAATATATGAAAATAAACTGCCTCCCCAAATTGAAGAGATACAGTGTCTTGAATGATGCCAGTGTCATGGGTATAAGGGAAAACCTTCTGAAAACTCTCAAAAACAGGGCCGGCGCCGCGGCTCACTAGGCTAATCCTCGGCCTTGCGGCACCGGCACACCGGGTTCTAGTCCCACTCGGGGCGCCGGATTCTGTCCCGCTTACCCCCCTTCCAGGCCAGCTCTCTGCTGTGGCCAGGGAGTGCAGTGGAGGATGGCCCAAGTGCTTGGGCCCTGCACCACATGGGAGACCAGGATAAGTACCTGGCTCCTGCCATCGGATCAGTGCGGTGTGCCAGCCGCAGCGCGCCGGCCGTGGCGGCCATTGGAGGGTGAACCAACAGCAAAGGAAGACCTTTCTCTGTGTCTCTCTCTCACACTGTCCACTCTGCCTGTCAAAAAATAAAAAAATAAAAAAAAACCTCTCAAAAACAATTATTTACATCAATGTGCTAATTATAATAGATTATCTTTAAGTCATATATTAAAAAGGTTTTTAAGATTTATTTTATTTATTTGAAAGAGTTACAGAGAGAGGCAGAGACAGAGAGAGAGGTCTTCCATCCACTGGCTCACTCCCCAATATGGCCACAATGGCCAGAGCTGCGCCGATCCGAAGCCAGCAGCAAGGAGCTTCTTCTGGGTCTCTCACATGGGTGCAAGGGCCCAAGGACTGGGGCCATCTTCTACTGCTTTCCCAGGCCATAGCAGAGAGCTGGATTCAAAGAGGAGCAGCCGGGACTAGAACCGGAGCCTATATGGGATGCCAGCACTTCAGGCCAGGGCTTTAACTTGCTGTGCCACAGCGCCGGCCCCAGTATTAAAAGTTTTAAAATGTGAACTCTCAATGTTGATTTCAAGTATAATAACTCAGTCCTGGAAAGCATAGAAAGGGAGGCATTCTGAGCAGATTAAGAACACTTGCTGTAATTAATTTATAGTCCCAAGTGTACCATTCTTCTTGGGGTTACAAGCGTTATGTTGTTAGAAATCATAGTCTAATAATATGACGTTTCATAATATAATTGCATACTTATATGTTATATATGTATTATATATTTATATTATTATATAACATTATAAATATAGCTAGAAAAACTCACTGCTGTCAAACCATGGTGTTGACACTATAATAAAAACTGACGAACACTTTCAGATTTTGTTACTGCCATCAAAGTCATATTCCAGGCCAAAAGACAGTTTTCTGGTAGTAATCAAAAGTTGGATTTTTTCCCCATGCCCTTATATTAATAGATATTCTATTCTTTTTCAAATAATTTAAGAATATTCTTACTAAATGTAGCTTGAACATTTAAATTTTTTTATTCCTTTTAGATTTTTTGGGAAAAACCTCAAAACAATTTTTGTTGTAAAAATGCATTTTAATCACTAAAAATTTGAAATTAAAGCTACTTCTCTGTCCATTTCACTTAGACTTTAAATCTTTCATATTATTAACTTTTTCAATAAAATCTGTTTTGCCAAACCAGTTCGACCAAGGTGTTAAAAAGCCTCCTAATTATTATGGATTGTCAATTTTTTATAATTCCATTGTTTTTTATTTTATATCTGTCAAGACTGTGTTGTTAAGAACTTATACAGTTCATGGTTAAAAGTCTCTCTTTTTTTTTTTTTTTTTTTTTGACAGGCAGAGTTAGACAGTGAGAGAGAGAGACAGAAAGAAAGGTCTTCCTTCTGTTGGTTCACCCCCCCAAAATGGCCACTACGGCCAGCGCGCTGTGCCAATCTGAAGCCAGGAGCCAGGTGCTTCGTCCTGGTCTCCCATGTGGGTGCAGGGACCAAGGACTTGGGCCATCCTCCATTGCCTTCCCGGGCCACAGCAGAGAGCTGGACTGGAAGAGGAGCAACCGGGACAGAACCGGTGCCCCAACCGGGAATAGAACCCGGTGTGCCAGAGCCACAGACAGAGGATTATCTTAGTGAGCTGCGGCGCAGGCCAAAAGTCTCATCATAGATTTTCTTCCTACCATCAGTGTGAAGTGCCTGCTTATTACTAAAATATCTTATGTAACATTGATGTTCCCTTACCATTTTTCTTTTGGTTGATATTTGCCTAGTGCAATTTTTCTCATCCATTTTTCAACCGTTCTATGTCATTTTAAATGTGCTTTTTCCTCTTCCATCTGTTTTTCCTTTTAAAATATTTTTTCTTTTTTTAAAAAACTGATTTATTCAAAAGGCAGAGGAAGAGGAAGAAGAAGAGAGAGAGGGAGGGAGAGAAAGAGAGAGATGTCTTCCATCTGCAGGTTCACTCCCCAAATGGCTGAAACAGCCAGGGGCCAGCCCAAAGTCAGGAGCCAGAATGCTATGCAGGTCTTCCATGTAAGTGTAAGGGACCTACATACTCGGGCCCTCATCTGCTGTCTTCCAAGGCGCATTAGCAGAAATCTGGATTGTAAGTGGAATAGCCAAAACTCGAACTGGCACTCAGATATCGTATGCTGGCATTGCAAGAGACAGCTTAACCTATGGTGCCACAATGCCACTGGTATTTCTTTAACTAACAAAAATTGTACACATTTGTGGGGTACTATGTGATGTTTCAATACATGCATATGCTATATATAATGTCCAATCAGAGTAAAGATATCATATTCTCATACACTGAGAATTTCTTTATGGTGAAAACATTAAAAACCCTTATTGTAGAGAAATATTCAGTATCTTATTATTATCTATAGTCACCCTACTGGGCAATAGAACACAAGAGCTTTTTAAACCTGTCTAACCATAACTTAGTACCCTTTAATCAATATTTCTCTATCCCTAGTCTTCGCAACCTCTGGTAATCACCATTTCTACTCTCTGCTTCTATTAACTTTCTTAGACTCCATACACGTGTTAGATCATGTGGTACTTGTCTTTCTGTGCTTGGCTTATTTCACTTAACATAATGACCTCCTCTTCCATCCATGCTGTTGCAAATGGCAAGATTTCATACTTCTTCATGAATAGTATTCCATTGTGTATATGTTTCACATTTTCTTTATCCATTCATCAGTGCATAGACACTTAAGTAGTTTCCATTTCTTGGCTATTGTGAATAGGACTGCAGTAAACGTAAGAGTTCAGATGTTTCTTTGACAGGCTGATTTCATTTCCCTTGGATATATACCCAGGAGTGGGATAGCTGAATCATATGGTTGTTTTATTTTTAGTTTTTTGAGGATTCTTGAGGATTCTTCATACCTTTTTTTCACAATGGTTGTATTTACATTCCCACCAACCATGTACAGGGGTTCCCTTTTCTCTACATCTGTGCCATCACTTGTTATCTTTTATCTTTTTGATAATAGACAATCTAACTGAAGAGTATTGATTAAGTATGGTTTTTAAAAACAGCTAAAAAAAAAAACCCTCCAATCAGACAGTCTCTCTTTAAAGACAGACAGAGAGAGAGAGAGAGAGAGAGAGAGGTGTTCCATCCACTGATTCACTCCCCAGATGGCCGCAACAGCCGGAGTTGCGCCAATCCAAAGCCAGGAGCTAGGAGCTTCTTCTGGGTCTCCCACATAGATGCAGGGGCTCAAGGACATGGGCCATCTTCTACTGCTTTCCCAGGTCATAGTAGAGAGCTGGATGGGAAGTAGAGCAGCCAGGACTCAAACCGGCACCCATATGGGATGCCAGCACTGCAGACAGCGGCTTTACCTGCTATGCCACATTGCTGGCCCCTCTGACAATCTCTTAATGAGTGAGTGTTATTTATATGTATTGTGACTAGTCATACAACTGAACTTTTTAAAAATGATTATTTATTTGAAAGAGTTACAGAGACGGGGTGTGGGGAGGGAAAGAAGAGGGAGAGAGAGATCTTCCATCCTCTGGTTCATTCCCCAAATAGCCACAACAGCCAGGATTGGGCCAGACTGAAGCCAG